CCTGCGGAATTGCAAAGTCTTGCACACAAGCAGTCCTAATCGCTGGACGGTCATCACCCAACGCACTGAACTTCCTGAGATTCCCGTAGTGACGGGCTATTGCAACCTGATGTTCAAGATTCACTCCAGCTTCACCTAAAACGAACTGTAAATCTGAATCCATGTTCGTTTGAACAAACAGTCTCTGAGCATCTGGGTCCATGGCACCGCAAGAGTGGCCAATCCGGGCCACGGCGGAAGTGAGTGAAAGTAAACACCAATGAAAAGAAGCCCAATGCCTAAAACCTGGCAGTGGGTTCAATTTAGTTTCATGCCCTGGCCGCAAACCTGGCATTGGGGTCACAGGGGGGAATGAAAACACCAATGCAACACCCAACCAAGTTGATGCAGGAACATCCCAAGATGGTTCCAATGAATTTGAATGCGTCTTGTCAGATGGCACCCTGAGGTCTGAGCCATCACACCCAGAAAATAATCTGCATGTCCAAACATGCAGTTCCACAGCCCCATGCGTCCAAACGCACATCCCCTATCTGAATGAAAATGATTCACAACAAAAATCCAGCTCTTTCAATCAAATGCAACATGAACAACAAGATCAAAGCGGTCACATGAAGGAAGAAGAACCGACCTCGGCACCTAAGAAGCCTAACAAAAGAACCGAAAAGAAGCACAACACAAGACGACCGACAACGCCCTAAGTGATTGAAATCTATGTTTTCCTGGTGATCGGACAAATCCGCTCACATGGGCACTTCGCCCTGATCGTCGCCAGAGGCGGTCGACGATGATGAAGCTGTGGAAGAAGACATGTCTCCCGTTTCTCTGCCACATTCTGACAACATACGTTTCTTGCAGCCCTGACAGACCGTGTCAAAATCCTCATTACTCACTTGGTTCAAGAAAATGACCTCGCAACATCTGTCAGGCTTCACGAAACATCCACTGAGGTGCAAACGCCTCAGACATGTCCTCCTGGAAATGGTCACAAAGTACTTTGAGGTCTCAGGCTGGTTGAGTGATTCCTTCTGTGCCAGCATTGAAACCTTCTCAGATAAGGCGGCATCGCCCTCAGCCTCGTCCATGACATTTGGCCAATCGCCTTCGGCCACCTCCAACGTTGGGTAGATCCCTCCAAGGGAGTGATTCCCAGACCAATCGCCAAGCACGGTGTGCCTCTTCCGAATCCTGTTTGGGTTGGCCCCATTGCCCTCAGCCGCATCGCAGAGTTTTTGGATGGCTTCATCCTCATGGTATGGTTCGGGCAAACCTTCAACCAGGCACCTGTTCACTGCCCTCTGTATCTTGAAGACCACCTGTCTCGATGTCCTCACGTACTCCTCCGATGAGACCATTCCCATCGACCATCTACCCAAATAGGCTCGCTCATCACGTGTGAATCCAACCACTGCAGCAATGGACGTCAAGAAATTCCTGGCACTGTGTCCAGAGTAGAAGGCTTCTAAGCTATCTGGCAGCAAAAGCACGTGTGGCATCAGTTCCCAACCAAGGCCTGCTCTCCGAGGGCATGACAACTTCCCAAGGAGCTTGCTGATCAGAGAGCTCAGTCCAGCAGGTGACACAAACTTGCGTCGCACCTTGTCCCAATCCTTGGAGGGCTCCATCACCAAGTAGTCTCGCTGGAAACTGAACTCCTCAGTTTCCCAAATGTCAAACCCAGAACGCAGCCAGTCCTCCCCAGTCAGGGAAATCGTCCTGAACACGTGCACAGCCACTTCTTTCTGAACTTTGTCAGGCCCTGTTGTCTTCGACTTCCCAAGAATGAGCTTGAGGCCGTAGTTGGACAAGAAAGAACGCTTTGGAATGACCGCTTGAACATCGTCACAACGCATTGCACCCCAAATCATGACGAGCACCACCCAAGAGAGCGCCCTTGCGAAAATGGGCTCAGTCTGATCCACCACTGTCAACTCCAATGCGATGACAATTGCAACTGTGTACATCTCGGCAGGCCTCCTCGGTGCAGCGTCTTCGCAAAGCTCTGCTCCCCAGGACTTCACATGTCCTTTCCACAATGGATCTTCACTGATCCTCAAGGCCTCAGGGATGCGCCCCAGCTGCTCCAACATGCCCAAAGCGATGCTGAATGTCTCAGGGACAGTCCTGCCACAGCCATCCTCCACCCGATGCTGCATGTAATCAATTGCGTCCTTGACTGATTTGGGAAAAAGATATCCCCTGTGAAGCTCCAGCCACTTCTCAAACGGCTTCCATACCTTGTAGCGCGACTTCAGTGTGTTTGCGCGCCTTGCTGCAAAAATATGTATCCAAGCTGCATTGGGATCGTCCAAGGTCCTCACCAATGCCACTACTGGCAAGTCAGCAGAGATCATCACCTGAGCCAACAACAAGGAATACTTCCTCCTTTCTGATTCAAACTTCTTTGCACGGATGTCTGGTGGATCCTCACGGTACTTCCGTTGCTTCCTCTTCGAGTGCATCTCCAAAATGCATTGAACACTTGTCTTTGTCAAACGTTGAAATTCATCATGAATATTCAGCACATTCGGTTGAGGCAAAACGAATAAAGCAGAATCGATCATGCTCCTGCGAAATCTCTTGAGTGGCCTAGCACTATCGTTCTTCCAGTTCATCATCACTGCAACATTGTCACGTAAGTCTTCACCAACCATGAGAGGAAACTCACTCTCCAAAAGCTCCTGGCATCCCTCGTCATCGTCGAAGGCTGCCTCCAAGCGCCAGGGGTCTCTGAAGACACGCTGGAGAAATGCCAGGACTCCATCGTCAACACAAGGCCACGCAACATCCATGCGCACCCATGGAACTACGTCCAATTAAGAATTGGAAAGTGAAAACGCCCCAACCTACCTCATCTGAAATACAGCCAGAGCTCCATATCAAATATATTGAGACCAGTTGGATTGTTGACTGAGTGATCCAGCAGATACCACAAAGTATCACAAGACAGCAACTGTAGTAGAGTCACCTAACCTGCCTTGCAGTTCAGAACTTCAGATCTAAGCAAACAGCAGGTAATCGAAACTGTTTCCAAAACCAGAGCGTGTAAGAAGTCCAGCAATGAAAAACCATCTGGGGAAATAAACGAAACAGAACACAACAGAAGAAACTCAAGTACCACATCAAATGACTGTGCCAGAAACTGAAACCATCAGCAAGCAAAACTGTATCATCCAAGTTTGTGTTGTATTGCAAGCAACGTTGTAACCTGTTTGACTCCAGCGACTCAAGATATAATCCAGAGACTTCCAAGCCGTTGATCCCCACCCTCCCACCCTACTATTACTTAGTTTCACATAGACACACTGGGCAAGCCCAGTGATGCGAATTGACCCTAGCAACGCAGAATTGGCCATCAACGAAGTTCTCGCTAGCCATGCAGACCCTCAATACACTGACTGGAAGATCATTGTCATGGACAACACCACCTGGCAACTCAATGACGCTGACCCAGGGTCCCTGGACGTTCAGTGCACTGGGTTGGGTGGAGGAGAACTCGATGAGGAGTGGGATGTACTTCTAGCTTGCAGAAAGGAAGCGCATGTGCATGGGCCATCCCTCAGCAAACAGGACGATTGGAATGCAAGGGCTGGCACAATTGCAGGAACTGCCCACACACAAGAATATTTGCTGCTGCACATAGCCATGTTTCCCATTGGTGTGCACACCTGGTGCCGTGTCCTAGGAGTGCCCGGTGTTGACCAATTGCAAGCCCAGATCATCAGTCGAGCCATGAAATTGCTGCGCTCCTGCCCCATTACCCCAGCGCATAGGAAACCGCCATGGCCAAGGTATAAGCATGGCCTGCGATTCTTTACTAAACTGCTAGTTGCGCATCCGTTGGTAGGGGTATGCCTGCCCCCTGAAATCCGTCCAGTTGACTATCTCAGATTAACAGGGTACATGGTAGGCTCTCTTTTCATTCGAGGCCACAGCGCTGGCTCGTATGCAGGAATGGTATGGGAAACCATCCTTTCGGAATTCCCAGACATTGAAGGCAAAACCGTGCTAGCAGCCATTGCTCTGCCACCATCGCTGCTGACGGCACACAGCCTGTCCCAGCTTCGACAGGTACACCTCATTCACCATGCAGATGACCGGCTTTGCGTATGGAACCCGTCTAACCAAGACATTAAACTGCTAGAGCAACGTGGCTTTGCAATCACACACATCACAGGATGGAGAGCATACCTAGGCACTGCACAACACAGCTACTCGCACTGGACACGAGTTGCCCTTCCAGAGGGACGACCGGACATGGCCCAATTAGAGGGTACCCCAGGAGTGCTTCCCTTTGAGGTCTACTCACAGGCTCCCCTCCGCCTGATATCATGGTGCAGCTTCGAGCTCCCAAAAACAGCTGAACGACTCCTGCGCGAATTAGCCATCATGTGCGAGCTGCCTGAGACCACAACACAGGCACTAGTCACCCACATTGCTGTGCACAACTCAGCGGTACAAACGGAGCAAGAAGCAACCCAGTATTTGGCCTCGTTGGCAACTGTTACCATAGCGTCAAGGGCTAAATTGCTCACCTATACCACCATGGTTCAACATTTCCTCGGCACCATGCAACTGCCCATGGCTGTCTACATGCTAGACTACTATCTGCCCATGCTCAGCCCCAACGAAGGCTACAATGAGACAGGACTCACGCTGCCTGTTCGCAAACACATGCGCCAAACAAACGCGGGGCCAACGCGGGGAAAACACAGGCGAAGCCTGATAAACGCGAACCCTAAAACTCCTACGCGAAAACCACAACCAAAACTTAAACCCTTGCAAACAGAACCTAATGCAAAAACGGAAAAAACTGACATGAACTGTCAACTGAGTAAAGCTGGTCAGCGCTTCTCTCTTTTTGTGCATTGGTTCGGGCTGATGCAAAAGGTCTCAAAGTCATCAGCTGTTGCTGATGTGGTTCACATCCATCTTTCTGCTAACCAGCTGCAAAGGCTTTCCACTGAAACCAAAAGAGTAAGGGTGAGAGAAACCTCCCCCTAAGCCAGAAACTCATCACGGAAACGAAGTTCGTGTCCACAAATATCTGCCACCGCTTTCAGGAGCAGGATGGAATCATCCAAATCATGAAAAATATCATCATGTACCTCTGAAGAGTAATTCGCCTCCAGCCATTTCTTGATTGCCACGAGAGCCATAAAACCAGGTTGGATGCGTGGAACGTGTTGGTTCCAATCCGACATATTCAAGTAAGTCAAAGGTAATGGATGATTAGGAGCCACGAGATGCCGTGGCGTCTCCGTTGGAAGATCTGGAAAATACTGGTTTTCCATGTCCAGCAGGGCTTCAGTACCACATCTCCATAACATGGAGAAAGATTTGAGAGATAGTGTCTCTCCCACGAACTCCAAAATCGCCTTCAGAAGCGATGCCACGTTCTCAACAGCTTGTAAGTTGTCAGCATTGGTAGTGATGTCCACTTGGATGAATGCCACCAGCATTGAAATAAATGCGACCTGCGTCACGAGCTCTTGTTCTGTAAGAACCATCAGAACCTTGAAAGGCACCCGCAAAAAAAAAGGGGTGGGAAAGCAAATGGGCGGGTGTTCAAATTTCTTTCAGCTGAAGCCGAGACTAACCAATGAAAATACATGGAAAACCAACAACAGAAAACGAATTCGAAAAACCTCAAAACGACAGAATGACCGAAAGTGACATCTTGAAATGCATTCACTGAAACTCACGTGGAATGATCGTCACCAAAAAATCGTGACAACAAACAAAATAAAACTGAAGCTCAAGACAATACTTCCGGTCAAGCACTTCCGCAACAACGCGAGGACAAAGAGGAGCGGAAGAACGTGGGAGCAAAGCGCGGGACCGCCAGACCCAAACAACGCCAACAAGACGACAACAGGACCGGGACACAAAAGAACCGCAGGGGAAGAAGACCGGGCCAAGGCCCCAGGGAGAAACCAACCAAACAGCCCCACCACCGCCCAGGCGACATGTGCCGCAAACAGTCACCTAGGTAAACCTAAGCACCCTGTTCGCAAACACATGCGCCAAACAAACGCGGGGCCAACGCGGGGAAAACACAGGCGAAGCCTGATAAACGCGAACCCTAAAACTCCTACGCGAAAACCACAACCAAAACTTAAACCCTTGCAAACAGAACCTAATGCAAAAACGGAAAAACTGACATGAACTGTCAACTGAGTAAAGCTGGTCAGCGCTTCTCTCTTTTTGTGCATTGGTTCGGGCTGATGCAAAAGGTCTCAAAGTCATCAGCTGTTGCTGATGTGGTTCACATCCATCTTTCTGCTAACCAGCTGCAAAGGCTTTCCACTGAATCCAAAAGAGTAAGGGTGAGAGAAACCTCCCCCCTCGAAGCGAGCCCTTGCTCAACTGAATCTGAATCTGATGCTGAGAATGTTTCAAGAAAATCTTGCCAAACCAAAATTTCACCAGCCAGATTTTTCATAATCGCCAAGTTTCACAATCTTCGCACTGGCCCTAAGACCGTCCTTGTCCAGATAAGCATTGCGTTCATTCCAAAGTTTCCAAATCCCAGAAAAATCGAGTTTCGTCCAGTCAACGTGAATACGCTTCTGGATGTCCACTCCCGAAAAGTCCTCATTCGTCAGGGCATCGGCCAGGGCGTTCTGGTCACGCGGCCGCCAGTTCAGTTGCACCATCAATCTCGAATCCATGAGCGCTTTGGTCATTTGCATATACACCAAACACAAAGGCCAGCGAGTTGTCAGTCCCTTTTTGATGAGATGTTCATTCGCCAGATTGTCAGTGCCAGCTGAAATCTTGATGGGCGTCGTGACATGTTTCACTGGGCCGCCCACAAAGCCGAAAAGATGAAGCGCCACCAGCACGGCCAATAACTCTGCAGTTGTTGAGGCCCACTGTGACTCCCCCCCATCTTTAAACAGGTAGGGGGCTTGCTCTGGCCGTAGCTCCACTGAGAACCAGGCCCCTGAAATCAGGTGGACGCCCCCCAACACGACTCTTCCCAATTCACATTTTGCATCGGTGCGGAAGAGTTCTTGTGAGAGGCCTTCAGGTCGCCTGCACGTATGTACATAGGTACAGTCATGTAGCTGTTCACTCAAAAACCTCATCACCAACGAAACCAAACGGGGTGCAGTTGCAACTGAGCTTCTGTCCAAAACCGATGACCAAGCATACAAGGGGGCCATGAAAGGTTTAAGCCAAACCAGGACCCTTGCCACAAAACCCAATCGTCCAACAAATTCATTGAACCGCCTCAAAAGGACAGTCCCTCCAGCTTTCCGCATCTCCTCAATGAAATTCACGAGCCACTCGCCACGCTTCTTTGTGATCCCAATAAGGCACTCCCGATAGTCCAAGAGGTATCCAACAAACTGCACCTTCAAACCACCTGAGAATTTCTTGTAGGAGAACGGAGTCCCTACCAGCTCGTAAATCAAGAGGATAATCCACATGTTCACAAACTTCCTAGCACCAAGGCAAGTCAGATGCAAGTCGTCAACATAAACCAGTTGCCACCAATTCTGCTGTTGCATGATGTAAGCTGCCAGGCGCCCAATACCAGAGAACAATCTGCTCCACCAGTAAGAAGCCGAGGAAATCCCAAAAGTCCCCACGCAGTTTATCCAAATCGTTTTATCTGCAGAGCGAGCCTTGCATCCCAGCAGCGGCCAGTCACGTCTCCTGATCTTCACCAGGCGGTGTGCTGAAGCGATGTCAGCTGAGAGCGCAAACACAGCCTCCTGTTCCTCTTGGATGTGTCTCACCATATGTGCTGCATCCTCCGGGCCAGGGTACTGAAGTTGATCCTGAAAAATGATTTGGTTGTTGAGCTGGACGAAATGAGTGCCATCATGGAGTGGCCTCACATCTCCGTTTGGCTTCCTAATTGCTCCCATAGCTGCAACCAAAGGAGTCCTGTCTGGGAAGTCTGCTTTGAGACGTCCAAGAGTAGTAGGCACCATTCGTCCCAGTTGCTCCTCTTCTCGAAATTTCTTCTCTAGATCATCTGCCATGCCCTCAGCGGATTTGTAGTTGCAGGCCATGTTATTAAACTCCGAGTCGTCCAGCGGGCGGGCCTTTTCCTTTGGTGGAAAAACGGCTGGGATTCTTGGCAACGGTTCGTCGTAGCCCACCGGCACTCCATTCCAAAATGAATCCGTGCCCTCCATGTAAACGGAGTAATCAGGGTCCCCAAAGGCCTCCAGAGACTGGCCTACAAGGCCAAGCAAGAAAGGTTGTCTTTCAGGCACCACCATTGCCATGTCTTTTGAAGGCAACAAAGCCGCCCAGCTGCGCCTCAGCCCTTCCAGCTCCTTGTCAGTGAATGGGGATGAAGAAAAATGGCCCAGACCAAGTTTTATTGCTTCTCTGCGCGGGTCCGCAAACTTCTTGTCCACAAATGTTGACAACATCTCAAAAATCTCCATGCACAAACCTTTTGCCTCCGCGCTCATGTGTGCTCCTCTGCATGATGGTTCCCATAAAGTGGGTGAGCACAAACCGAAACCATCCACCAGCTCCCTTGCTCTGCCGGCCCATTCCAGAGTGATCTTCTGCCCCCGATGCAAGTGCTGTCTCACATCTGCTTTTGTGTTTTGACCTGCCGTTTGTTCTTCTGAAGGAACATCCTGATCTGCCTCCTGTGTTGCTTGGTGTTGGCTTTCCTCCACTGCTGTTGCCTCGTGGTGTGCCTGGGTTTGCACGGGTCTTTCAAGCCTTTCAAGAGGCCTTTCTGGCTGCTTGTTCAACTCAGAGAGACTTTCCCCCTTTCGTGAGACGATGAGTTGTGCCAGCCATTTGCAAAGTGGAGGCGGGTAGGCCGCCGCATCTGCTGTTTTCCATTTGCCGTTTTCTTTCCCGATAAGTTTTCTGACATGAAACGGATGTGAGCATGCAGCAGGAAGTGGTCCCAAGTAACTGCGGTCTTCGTCAAACTGCGGCCAACCTTGCCAGGGAAACGACTGCGCCAGCGGAAATGTTGTCACAAAACGTGTAGGTTTTGGTGATTGTGCGCCAAAATGGCATTGAAAAACTGCAAATGTAAAAGCATTTCCTGAATCAACAAATTTTCGCATCTCTTCCAGTTGCCAAACGCTTGCTGGTTTGTCACCACCAGTGGTTTTCCCAAGATCCTCAGGGTGCTCAAAAAGGAAATCGCACCCTACTTCCAAGCAAATGTCCATTGTTGCGAAGCTTTGTGACAAAAGAAAGTTGTGATCCAAAATGAGCTGCCTATTGTTTCCCGACAGACATGGGAATCCCCAAGGATGATTGAAATTGCGGACTGGTACAGGACCAGGAGCCAAAACTGAGTTGCAGCGGGCACGTGAAAATGAATTGCAAGGTGGAGTTACCACTGCCACATCGTAAAGGCCCTGACGCAACTCTTTGAAAATCTCGTCCCATAATTTTTGTTGTAACAAATCATCAGCATCACTTCTTTCTATGTCCACTTCCCGGACGTGAACCTCAAAATTGCCATTGCTGCCGAACTTTTGCAGAAAATGTTTTATGTCGGCTTTCCGTTCTCGCCCACAGAAAAGGTACAGCACCCTCAATTGCTGCTTGGGTTGCTGTGGTTTCGCTAGTCACTCGGCCTTTTTCTGGTTCCCTTGGAACTTTGAGTGTTCCCTTGCCGCGTGATCGCCAAAACATCCTCGGACTCTGCAAACATGTACTCTGCCACACTTTCCGTTGCATCCTTGTGAGTTGAATGCAAAGCAAATGTCCCGTCCGTCCGGGGTTTGTGCAACCAGGCTCAAATCGCCGTGCTTTCCCTTTGATGCATTGTTCTTGGCACCTTTTCCAAAACCCTTGTGTTGTTGGAATTTTCCCTTGCCTTTGCCCTTCTGACGGTTGGTCCATTCGTTGTTTCCCTTCTGTGAAGTCTTCTGATACTTAACTGGTGTCTCTGCTGTTGTCAAAGCCAGCGGCGTTGTAAAATAGGCTTCTTTGAGATCTGGATCTTTTGTCACTCGCACCAAGGCATCTCCCAAAGTTGCTTCTCCACGATTGACAAGTTTGAATGCCTCCCGCCGCAATCGATGCTCGTACTGTAGCACCAGTGCCCAATTGGGTTTGATTGCCACATGCTGGTTGTCATAAGGAACCTTATTGGCATTGACCCTGTCACCCAGGATGTATTCCACAAATCGTTGAAAATGATCTGCTTTGAGGTCTGACAACCAGTGTTTCGACTTGAACTTCGCAGCCATGCACATCCATGTCACTGCCTCTAACTTCAAAGCTTGCCTATACTCTTCAGTATTGTTGGGCAGTGTCCCTTTTGATTTGTTTTTCACCACTCGTACATGGCCCGCTGTATCCAACGAAGTCTGCAGGGAAGAGGTATTCTTGTGGGTTTTGCTTGTGATCTCGTCAAGGGAGGAGGCCAAGATCTCCCCGTTTTCACATTCTTCCACTTTCATTGCAAGGTACTCAGAGCTGGGTGTATCGTGTTCAGGGAGAACTTCAAGTGCAGCTTCCACTGCTTTCAGCATTGCTTGCCGCTCGCTATGTTGAAGGTTCCTGGGCATCCCCAACACCTTACTTTCTGCATGCAACTCCGTTTCTTTCTCGTAAAGTTGTCTTCCTGCCGTCCAAGCGCTCACCACCTTAGCTGTTTCAGCTCGTTGGTCAGCTCCAGAGTTGGGATCTACCTGGAAATCATTCTTCAAGGCCGTCCTGATGTCAGCTGTTGTCTCACCAAGGGCGATGAAAACCCGTAGAGATCTATAATGTTGTGCAAACCTGTACTGTAAATCCAAGCTCACTTCAGAATCGTCCCAGATATACTGCAAGTCTGATGTCACGTTCTTCTGAATGAACTCCCTCTTTCCAGCATCATCCATCGCTCTTGCAACGGCGCACGGAAAAAGTCTAAAGCAGAAAACAAGTGTTTTGCATGACCAACATGTCCCAACTAAATGAGTGAAGCTGCCCCAACACAATGTTTGAAAGAGTGACGGCAAGTCAAACTACAACCCAGAGGCAAGCACTGAAACTGAATCTGAAGCAAAATGCTTCTCTGCTGAGCCCGGTGACTGCAACACCGTTTGGATTACCCTGAGTTGAATCTGACGCTGAACTTCCCATGCAAGAATCTGAAATCATCAAATTTGTCAATAAAACACTCAACTCACTGAATCAAGCAAGGCACGCAAAAGAAGTGAAATTCTCAAGTGAAAATTCTCAAACTGAGGCTGCTGGTACCTGCTTCCCTTTTGCCAAATTGTGCCAAACTCAGTCCAGTGCCTCCTCTTGAGGTTCCGGTGTCTTGTCCGACTCCGTGGAAGATGACTCTCCCGAGGTGCTTGAGCTCTCACTCTCAAGCTTCCCTTCCTCCGCTTGAAGACGTCTCTTGCAAATGCGACACATCACGTCAAAAGTCGTTTCATCAATTGAAGAAACATCAAAAGAATCAAGGCATCTCTGGGATCGCACTGGACATTTGAAATGAGCATGCAAACGTCTGAGCCCCGTGCGCCTGGAAACAGTGATGAAAAATTTTGAAGCCACTTCACAGTCTTGTTTTTCTAATTCACCGACTGTCTTTGCAAGTTCAGGCTCATCCAAGTCCTCTGTTTCATGGTCTGTATCAGGTTCCTCTGAGTGCAGCACGGGGAGGTCCCTGGTGAGCTGTTGGGTATGCCTGCGGCGGATCCTATGTCCTATCAGGCCATGGTCATCAGCAAATTGGGTCACCTCATCTAACAGCTCTGTTTCATCAATCTCAGCACTTCCAGTGGTTAACGCCCTCATCACATCAAGCTGAATGGTTTCAACCACTTGCCTCGCTGTGTGGATGTAGGCATTGCTGCCCGTCCTGCCCAAAGCCCACCGTCCAAGATAATCTCGGCGTTCTTTGGGCACCCCCAGCGCCAGCGCCGCCTGATTCAAGAAGTGTCGAGCGCTATGGCCCGTCCAAAACAAAAGAAGGTCTCCTGGCACCAGAAGCATCGCCTTATTTGTCCGCCAGATTCCATCTTGGAACCTTGGTGTCCCTAACCTGCCCAAAACCATGCGAATCAAATTTGAAAGTGCCGGCGGCTCAACCAGTTTCGGATAGAATCCATCCCATGCATCGTTGTGTGCCGGGACAAGGTAGTCCCTCGGGAAAATGAAGGAATCCAGCTTGGTAAATTCCATCCCTGTTGCAAGCCAATCATGACCAGTAAGTGAGATTTCTCTGCGAATGAAAATCGGTAACTGGCCATGAAGTTTTCCAGGGCCCGATGTCTTCGTCCTGGCCAACCTTCCAGTGAAACCTCTCTTCGAAACCTTCAATGTTTCAGGTAGCACATTCTGAATATCGTCCACACGCATTGATGTCCAGCATGCCAGTAGAATTGTCCATGCAATGAACCTGAAATAAACTTCTTGTTCTTCATCCATGACAAAAATTTCCTGTGACACCAAAATTGCAACCGTATAGGGTTTTGCCGGCTTGGGGACCCTTGACTTTGACTCAAGCTCCAACTTCCAACTTGACAAATGTGCCATCCATGTTGCATCGTTTGAGCATCGTTTGTCTTCGGGCACCCTACCGACCTGCTCCAAGACGGTCAGTGCGGCCTGGAGTTCACCTGGACAAGAGTAGCTGCAACCTTCGTCGATGCGCTCTTCCACAAACGCCACAAGCGGCGATATGCTCTTGGGCCACACTTCACCTGAAAAGGCCAGATACCAATTGCGAAACTTCTGCCAAGCCCTAAGCCTATTGCGCAATGTTTTCGATCTCCGGTTGCCAAAAATACGAATCCAAGCCTTGTTGGGATCTTGCAATAATTCCAGCTGAAATGTCACAGGCAAACATGCTTCCCTCACGATTTCTGCCAACTGCAATGCGTAAACATTCCTCTGCTCATGTTCAAGTTCTGCACGCTGCAAACCTTTATGTTCTCGTTTACGTTTCAGTCTTCTCTTAGCAATTTCCAACACATATGCAGGGCTATCCCTAATGATCTCCTCAAACTCCTCCTGCACTGTTCTCTCAAGGTGATGTCCAGGATGATGCAAGTGACTGAAACTCTCCATACAGCGAAGTGAGGTCAAACGCTCACAGGGTTTTTCCATTGAAGTTTTCCAATTCCAAACAACCTGCACTCCCTCTTCGCCTAATGGACCAAATTCGAGGTGACCAAAAATATCCTGCAGCACTCCCTGAACATCCTCAAGAGTTGAAATTGCGTAGAACAGAAACCGGGGCTCTTTGTAGACTCGTTTCACCGTCTCTAAAAACTTGGTTCCCAGCCCCTCAAGGCCAGACCACTCCATGCGTCCCCATAGGGGAATGCGCAGCGCCCCAATCTGTTCAAATTTCTTTCAGCTGAAGCCGAGACTAACCAACGAAAATACATGGAAAACCAACAACAGAAAACGAATTCGAAAAACCTCAAAACGACAGAATGACCGAAAGTGACATCTTGAAATGCATTCACTGAAACTCACGTGGAATGATCGTCACCAAAAAATCGTGACAACAAACAAAATAAAACTGAAGCTCAAGACAATACTTCCGGTCAAGCACTTCCGCAACAACGCGAGGACAAAGAGGAGCGGAAGAACGTGGGAGCAAAGCGCGGGACCGCCAGACCCAAACAACGCCAACAAGACGACAACAGGACCGGGACACAAAAGAACCGCAGGGGAAGAAGACCGGGCCAAGGCCCCAGGGAGAAACCAACCGAACAGCCCCACCACCGCCCAGGCGACATGTGCCGCAAACAGTCACCTAGGTAAACCTAAGCACCAAAGTGCTGGACCTATCCGTCAACCATGGCAACCAATTACATTCGAATTCCTTTTCAAGGGCAGCGAATTTGGTCACTGGAAAGTCAAAGGTGGGCAAGATGCCTTTGCGTTTCGACATCCAAGCCTGGGCAAAACTGAAGTCTTCAGCCTCCTAGAGAGCGATGCTCACCACCACAAAGTTAGCCCCATAGGCACAGGAAGACTTGTCGCAATGGTAGGCACCACAGATGCCCCCGCTGACGACGGAAGAGACCTTCAAATCCTGTTCGGGTTAGTCCTTGCCATCACACCACGCACATCCAAAAGCAAGGATGAGCTGCCTGCCTCCCGCATATACAGACAGTGCAACCCCAGATGCATCGAAGTAGCTTTTCTCTCGGGGCCAGCCATTGACTTTTTGGCACAAGAACAGCTTGTAGCCCTCCAAGACTGGTACGTTGCCTCTGGCCAGCGCCTGGAACCCTTTGATGCTACCGTTCATGGGCAGAAAGGCCCGCTCCCTGGAACTTTCTTCCTCCACACAATGTGGATGTTCGGATGCACCAAGCCCACCAGAGAGGTTACCGCTGTTGCACAAACTCCGCCGTGCAGGTACCACCTGGGATTAGGCATATACAATGTCCAAACAGCAGTTGAAGGAATGGATGGTAACAAACGATCACATTTCTTGCATTTGTGCGGACAGTTGTTGCGCCTGGTGCTGATTCCATGTCACGTGGAAGGTGAACCCCACCCATGGACCCGCACCACTGCACTCTCCTTCGCCGCTGAACTAGATGGTCATGTCTTGGGCACGCTTTGTGCAGTGACAATGGCTTTGCTCACCAATAGGTTAGATCTGTGTATTCAAGGACTCTTCGGTGCAGGCAAGTCAAAGTCGATGGCAATCCTCATCCTGGCTTTAATTGAAATTGATGCCACTGACAGTCTCAAAATATTGTTCGTATGTAAAGAAAACTCGGGTACAAGATCCTTTGCTGACCTTCTCCTGTGGCTCGACCCCCCGTCGGGGGTGTTTGGGCGCATAGGGAGGTTGGTGGGGGACCAAGAACGTAACAAGAGCAGTTACTCCCACACCAAATTCGACATCCATCCAAGAGAACGAAGGCAAATGCTAAGCAAGTGCCAGTTAATTTTAGCCACAGGAGGCACTGTTGCCCAGGACCTCACCGCGCAATGGTCCACAATGAGTGGCTTTATGCAAGAGCTTTCCCTCATGGTCATTGACGAAGGCCAGCAATATGGTACTGACCGGGAAATTGCAGTCATCAGCTTGCTAAAACAGCAACCCCTAATCCTGTGGACAGGAGACTCGGAGCAAACACCTGGCGGCATTGATCGTGCAGCCCGCAATGCGAAACGATCGCGACAACTCCTGTTATCCAAAAAACATGGGCTGCGAAGTGACCGGCACTATTATATGCCAGCTAACCTCGCAGATGCAATGATCCGGCTGTTGGACGGTTCGTCCAATGAAGGCCTGCCTACTCTCAGTCAAATACTCCGTCGAGGCCAGCACACGTTAGGTCAGCTATGGACAAGCCAACTTTCGCCACAAGATACGGAAGACCTCAGAGTAGCCAACACCGTGCTCCCAGGCTTGCGAACCCAATTTGACGCCGCCCAGCCACAGAGGCCAAGGCACTCCTCCACTTTTGTGGATGCAGAACTGCTGGAAGGCACAACGGTCAGCTTCCCACGATCACTGGTACGCCTTGCCTGGACCTTGCAGCATGCAGCTACCCTCCTACCTATGGCTGGCGACATCCAAGCAGGCTTAAACTCTCAGACCGCCGGAGTAAGCGACATCCATGCCTGGGGGTTGATGCTCCCCTCCAGTTCAAGAGTCAGTCCTGTGACATACCGCTCAGTAGTGGCAGTTCGGTACCCCGACCTCTGCAGATTCATCAATGAAATGTGGGAGCTGGGAAGTTTCGCCTCCGGAGGCCTTCCAGACCGACCCCCGGGGTTTCAATTCATCCTCTGGGATACCAATGCTAGAATTAACGGCCTGGTAGCGACAGATTTAGAAACGCTCGTCTCAGCGGTACTCTACCCCTTCCCCAAAAATGCTGGTTTTGCAGATGGGCTCTTTGTAATGACCACGGCAACAGACCACAAAAACAACTTGAACCGTTCTGTGCTTAAGAAGGATTATGCCCGCACTCTGCGCGTAGAAACAATAGCCAACTCAGCAGGAGGAACAGCACAGGTATCAATCGTAGCTCAGCCAAGTATCGGATTCCTGAACACTAAATACTACTCCAATGGCTCGCCTACGGAAGATACGGAAGACTGCCTCGGCCGAATCACTGTCGGACTCACCCGGTCCAAATCGTTGACCCTGCTTGTTTCCCCGTTAGACATGATGGGACTCATGGGCATGGCGCAAGTGGTCGCGACCATCGCATATGGCATCCGGGGCCTTCGGAGAGGAGAGACGACATGGGATTGGCCGGAGTTTGATGACGACCCAGAACAAGAGAATCTTGCACAGCTCAGTCGATGGTCACTGAATTCCGCGCCAGCATGGGACTTCCCTCCCCTTGCAATCGCTAACCAATACCACGATCAGCAAGCGAACGAAGTGAAGCGGGCGAGATACCGTCTCATATTGGTTCGAGGGTCAGACCTCCGCTGGCTGAACAGAGATCGCCACCAAGAAGTCAAAGCAGGCCTAGCAGCTCAACACAAATGGATCCCCGTTCAGGATCTTCCCTTCCCTGAAGTTGTCTTGTATGCCTATGCAGCTGATCGCACACCATTTCCCACATACGTGTGCCTGCCTTCAGGACTATACAAAGCACGCACCGGACAAGTGGTAGCACAGACCGGCCCAGAGCAGGAAATCCGGTCTCTGCCAGGTATCTACTTTTTTGATGGATGGCGGTTACACCCTAGGTTGCCAATCCCCGACAACCTGCCACGCGCGAAAGAGGCGCCAGTTCAAGGTGTCGCCCTCACTGCGACACCTGACACAGAACCTACCCGGTCGCCGGAGGAAGAAGCGAGAGACATCCTGGCTACAGCTGCCAAGAATCAGCCTGAAGATGGGCCAAGCACAAGAAGAGCAGCAGTCCGCGCGTGCAAGTATTTGCGGGCGATGGTCAACCAATATGAGTCCACCATCCAAGCAGTGCATATAGCAGCTCGCACCCATACACAAAAGAGCAAGGGCGCAGTAGGGCCAGCAGTCGATTATCGCCCGCAAGGTGAAGCCCTCCCAGTCATCTCCTCCGACCTGACTTCAGAATTACTGCATTGCCTGTCCACGCTTCCAGACCCATGGCCCCTGGCCAAGATCACCATAGACATGGAGAAACCGAGCCAGTGGGTCTCAAAGTTGTGCAGACTCTACTTTGCCGATGAATGCGCCAGGCGAACAATCGGACTTCCCTCACCCACGCATGTCCCAGATATTGCGGCTGCGCTCAGAGCGGTCCAGACCATCCTCCCCAAGCTCGAAGTTAAACTGATTGAGTTCTTAGCTGAATGGTTGGTCACCCTTTTAATGCCAGCATCGCACGTATTGGAAGTGAGGGCACCTCATCTTTCCTTTATGTTGCTCAAGGAATACTGGTTTAGAGAGCTGTACCTAGGCTTGAAAGTCACAGCATCTTTCGACCGCTCCGAATCATACACCAGAGTAATCGATGGCCAGGTAAGATGCATCACGCCCGAAGTCAAGCCACAGAATCTGCAGGTCATCTGGAACATGCAGTTTATCACAGTTTTCGTACCGGCATGGATGATTCCACCAGTCTACCACAGCCGGCGCAGAGAAAGTATCAAAACCGCAAGTTCCGCCAGTCCCATAGGCGTCCAGTCGGTCCGCCCCACCTGGTTTGAAGACACAACACCCAAGGACACCACACCCCAACCCAACCAAGACCCTCAAGGGCAGCAGCCCCAGCCACTGCACTTTTTTTCCTTCCAACGCCTTCATGGCTTGGGGCTGCTGCACGGGCTGAAGTTAGTGATTAAGGAAGAGGTGCTGCCGACGAATGACCAACCAGAGTTCCCATCGCTTGAACTGTTGGCTGCCAGAGGCCTTTTAGCACCTGACACGTGGAAGTGCAAACGTGCACAGGTTAGCCTCAAGGCAACCATTGATGTCCCTATGCTAGGCACAATCATAGAGCAAAATGGTGATGGACTCCTTGAAGACTCCCACATGCCCGTAGGATGGCCGCTGCACATTGATGGAGCTGTCAGGCAATGTTGCATTCATCGAGCCGCGAGCCTGCAAGAATTAGATGACATGTTCAAAGAATATGACATGAAAAGAGACTCAGTTGAAATCAACCATGACGCACCTCAATGGTCTCACCATGCAGTCTGGAACAGACGGTACATGGAGCCTAAACCAGGCTACACACTGCAGCAACTATGGGCTGATTCCGAGCCTGCCATAGGCAAGAAAACGTCCGCTTCGTATGAAATCAAAACAAATGACGTTTTGCGTGCAGTAGCGGCTATTAAGCATCTCCCATCTCCCACGCCACCTGACAGCCCCTTCCTAC